GTCACTGTGATTGGGTCTCGAGTGAATACTATGAATCAAGGAGATTGAAAGGGCACAGTAACTTTGTGTAGCTACATTTTAACTAAGTAACAAGAAGGCTAGTGAATATACAATATGTGCCTCTTTAGTGGAAAAATATATTTACCAGGTGTTTGGTACGGAGAATCTGATAGGAATATTGAGAAAGTAAGGTAGGTAAAATATATTAACTATGTTTGATATGTCTTGAAGTTACAAAATACTGATATATTATTTTTTCCATTCATTTTGTTTTGAACTAAGCAGTGGAAAAAAAAATCATTTGAACTATGGTATTTTTTTAATCCGAGGAATGGAAAAATGCTTTTAGCATTTGTAGACAAAAATGCTCTGAAAAAGTAAGGGTTCAATATTTTAACATACGTTTGCTAACAATTATTTCGTAATGGGTGACCGTGATTTAATATTTTAACATGATGAATTATTTCGTAATTTTATTACACAATTTCATCAATATTTCACCATCAACTAAACATAACATTAGTAAAAATAACCCAACTTTTCAAGCAAATTTTTTGTCTATCAAATACTTTTTTGTAACTTATTCGAGAAAAAAAAATACCCATCATATTTCAAGAATTTTTTTTTTCAATAATAAAAAAAATTTCCATACCAAATACTCCCTTCTAGGAAAAGAAGATTCCCTAGTATAAGAGTGGTTAGCCCCACTAGGAGCGAGACACATGTCTTACAAGGTGTTAGAGAGTATGCTCTTACATGTGTGTGTTTGAAGAAAGAGATTTGATGCAATGAGGGAACATTTGTCTCAATTTAAGAAAATTTGATACAATGTGTGCTGTGTGTGCTTGGGAAAATAATTTTTATGTTGTAGAAAAAAAAAATTCCTACAAATGAAGCATCGAATTATGTATAATAATTTTTTTAGTTTTTATTTTTTATTTTTAATGAATATTGAGGCCCATTACATTTTGTATTATAGTAAGAGAAAAAAAATCTCATATTGCATAAAAAAAATAGACCCAAGAATAGGAAAATAATTCTCATGAATAAGCCATATAAGAATTCAACCCTCGTAATGGATCTTAACGGCCAACCAATGGAATGAGCCTATGTGACGGTCCAAAACAATGATGTTCTTTTTTTTTTTATAGTACAAATGATGTTCTTTTACTTGTTAAACAATGATGTTCTATCTTATTAATAAGCCTATCTTAATTATCAAATTTTCATAAATTTATTCCTTCAGATATTACTTTTTATAAATAAATTTTAAAAAATAAAATAAAAGAATATACAATTAAGTAACACATTATTTATATTTCAAATACCAAATCGTATATATATATTACCCCCAAAATAATTCGTTTTGGGACATCTGCGAACTCAGAGGTGCAGGCCTGCAGGGACATTGTACTGTTTGGATCAAACCCTTTCTTTTTATTTTGGTCAGCATTGTCGTACAATTATTGCAAAAAGATTTGTTTCAAAAATATTTTCATCAGGATACCCAAATCATTGATTTTGGTTAAGTCGTCATTGACTCGTCATGATGATGGCAGATTTTTTTTGAAACTATGCTTCTTCTCTATATCGATAAATATTTAAAATTTACTTTGATATTTTATTTAAAAGCAATATTATATCATTCTTTATGTTATAGATTTTATATGAAATATCACAAGCTAAATAGTAAAAGTTATTGAATAATTTTCAATATGTAACCCTTATTAATCAGTTTATAATTTTTATTAATTAATATATAATTTTAATAAATAAAGTGGTATTTTTAATTTTAGAGGATGTACCTATAAAGAATGAATTCAACCCAAAAACTTAAGTTGTTAAGTGAGGTTATATTAATGATTTTATATACTTATAACACACGTCACCTGGGACACCGAGGCTCTGATACCATGTAAAGTATCAATTCATGAACCAAAAATTTAAGTTGTGGAGTGAGGTTACATTAATAATATATATATATATATATATATATATATATATATATATATATATATATATAGAGGCAGGATCCTTTAACACCGGTGTTAAATTTGAAATTTGACACCTCATCTAAAAGTCGTTAGATTGAAAAAGATCAACGACTCTGATTTGTAAGCATGTGGCATCATTGATCTTTTTTGATCTAACGACTCTGAGATGAGGTGTCAAATTTCAAATTTGACACCGGTGTAAAGGATCCTACCTATATATATATATATATATATATATATATATATATATATATATATATATATATATATATATATATATATAATAGTACATAAATATTAGTGAGATTTAATGAGTTGATTATTTTTTATAGCTTGTTATCTTCATGAAAAAGAACCGTTTATAGTTAGAGATATCAAGTTATTTGTAAAATTTGACAATTAGACTTTTAATAAGATAATCAATTTTTGCATAATGTAGAAACTTAATTAAAAGAACTTTGGTGCGAGGTGGTTTAGATACATGAAATATTTGGAAAACATCACTTTTATCATTGTGACTAAATAAATATACAGTTACAAGTATATCTCTTTTTTTTTTTGGAAATAATAGGAAATTAAAACAAAAACACAACAAAAAGAAACTAGGCACAAAGCCTAGACCAGTGAACACCTATAGTGTCACCATACAGACTATCAATATAACCTGACGGTGGACAATCAAATTCCTGGATTACCCAAGAGAAACCATAAGAGTAAGAGGCTAGAAAGTCCGCTACTCTATTTCCTTCACGGTGAATGTGAGACATATAAATCTGCCAATCTCGCTGCATCAAATTTCGAATACGATTCACCAAATTAGCCGCAGGGTAATCATGGTGGCACCCATTTGTAATGAGCTGTTGAGCTGAAAGAGAATCTCCTTCGAGCCAAACTTGCCTAAAACCTCTATCCCAAGCTAGCTCCAAACCAACCAAGCAAGCCCATAACTCAGCATGCAAAACTGTACCTGAGCCTAAATTTTTACAGAATCTGACGATCCAAGTTCCTGAGGCATCGCGAAAAACTCCTCCACACCCAGTCCTAGTACCATTAGCATCACATGCACCATCAACATTAAGCTTAACCCAATCCACAGGAGGACAACACCAAGCAACCAATCTCTCTATTCGATTCCTTGGTTGATTGCCCGCTCCAAAAACAGGGTTAGCTGCAAGAGCGACACTATCTCTGAAACCAATTGCTGAACGGATAAGTGAATAAGCATTCTGGCGATCACCTTCAAAAACCCAAGAATTCCTACATTTCCAAATTTTCCAGGCTAAGATTCCAAATAAAAGAGGCCAGTCCGACCCCATCCCCCAATCCTTTGAGCTGTCTAAATTAGAAATGATCCAATTGTGCAGGTTGAGGTTGAAAAATTCACGCTGATTTATATGAGGCATTATCATGCACCATACTTCCTTTGATTGTGGACAGTCGCGAATAGTATGAAGGATAGTTTCACTAGACTGATTACATCTAGGACACAGATCTGAAAGAGCCATATGGCGGCGGAGTCTACAAACATTAGTCATCAGCTTCTCCCCTGCCATTAACCAATGAAAAAAGCGAATTCTTTCTGGCCCCTGCCATCTCCAAACACTTTCCCAAGGAAACTGTTGGATTGTAGTATCTTTGATGGCTAATATTGCATATGCTGACTTAACAGTAAACTTGCCATCTGTCGTTCCATTCCAAATTAAATGATCCTGGCCATCTTGACTAGAAGGAGGAAGAAAATTCATAAATCGATGCAGCACAGAATCTGGAAGCAATTGTCGAAGAGAATTCCATTTCCATTGCCCCAATTCATCCACGTAGTCCACCACCTTCTGAAGAGTATCACTAATAGAAAACTGAGAACCTGCATATGAGATCAAAGGACCACAATCGGGCAGCCAGCTATCAAGCCAGAACATAGTGGACTGACCATTGCCTAACTGCACCCGACTATGATCCATTATAATATTCCAATGACGCGTAATTCCCTTCCAAAGCTGGGAGCTGTTGTTTGGAGCATGAATAATTGGTGTCATGCCTGCCTCCACATTGTACTTAGCACGTAAGAACTTTGACCACAAGGCATCTGGATGAGCTACGAGGTTGAACCCAACCTTCATGATAAATGCTGAGTTCATTTCCCTCATACTCCGCAGTCCAAGGCCTCCATTGTTTTTATCCATGCAAATCTGCTTCCAGGCCACAAGATGAGAACGTCTAGAGTGTGGAGATGAACCCCAAACAAAATTTCGAATCTTCCTATCAATCTCTTCACAGGTGACTTGCGGTAATGAACACACCTGCATTGGATATGATGGGATTGCTAATAACACTGCTTTAGATAATGTTACAAGTATATCTCTTAATCTCTTAGGTTTCAAAGTTTTTCTTAACATCATTATAGTTATAACTGTATAACCATAACGAATTTAAGTAATGAATTGTCTTAATGAAATTTTGTTGCTTAATATTTGTGGATATCAATCAAAGCAACTGTATGTCCAACCGTTTAGTTAGACAATATGGTGGTTTGATATAACTGTATACATTAATGAAGAGTTAGAGAGATAGAGAGACAAAAAAAAAAAAAAAAAGAGATAGACAGACACAAATATTTCACATGGTATGTATTTTTCTTCAATAAGACAGTTTCTGAAAACAAAATTCTTTGAATAAAACAAAATTTATATACTTCGTACATACCACTAATTTTTATAAGTATTAAGGGAAGATTATATTTACATATTTTTTGTTTATAAACTCCTACAAACTATACTGTGTCTAATCAATAAGATATTCTTGAGTAAAGTATTACCAGTCAAACATGATATAATTTGTAAGTTTATAAAAAAAAAATAAAAAATTTGTCAATATAACATTACTCAACTATCAAATATGAAACTTCAAGTCAGCGATTTATTCTATTCAACACAACCCAAATTATAGAGAAGGCTTCGAATAAGATCCACCTTAGAACAACCCAAATTCATATTTAAATAAGAACCTATGTCAGCGTTTGAGGCCAATAAATTAAGGCAAAGAGTGGAAGATGAAGAGGCCACAGAAAGCATATGCCCAAAAATGTCTTCCCCTTTCTTTCAGAACCAAGATTGTGAGATTTTGCAGGAGCCTTCTGACATTTTGTTCGAATCATGTTCAAGCAATGGTGTTCGTGACTCTATCTATGATTCTCTTTCCTTCGATATGGTTGACTTCTCCATGGATTCACAGTCACCAATCAAAGGAAACCACAACGAGCGAAAGCAATTGGTGGTTAAGTCTGAAGGTAAACAAGAGCACACTGAGAAAATGTCGTATATAGGTGTAAGGAAAAGGCCATGGGGAAAATTTGCAGCAGAGATTAGAGATACAACGAGGAATGGCACAAGGGTTTGGCTTGGAACCTTTGATAGTGCTGAGTCTGCTGCTTTAGCTTATGACCAAGCTGCATTTTCCATGAGAGGCCATAATGCTCTACTCAATTTTCTTGCAATTTTTTTGTTGTTGGTTTCAGACTTTCAGCTAATGTTGTCAACGAATTCAAGTGATAGAGACTCGTCATAGTATTTGAGAATCATGATGCTGTCAACCTGTACAGACTATAGAGTTTATGGAATTTGCTGACCAAAGAACTGCATCAAATCGGTGACGCTCTTCTCTAGTTGAACCCGAGTTCTTTCTCTAGACTAATTTATATTGTTACTCGTTTTTCTAGTTTTCGCCTTTGATGT